TAAAATCTTCAACACTTCCCCTCAAGTTGATGCATATATGTCGCTCATTCCCAATTTGTTAAGACCATCGTGAAATGCTTGACTTGGTACAGCCTTGGTAAGTAAGTCAGCAAGTTGTTCTTGAGATGAGACATGAGGAGTTTCAATGATCCTTGCTTCTAATTTCTCTTTGATGAAATGCCTATCAATTTCCACATGTTTGGTTCGATCATGTTGAATTGGATTGTGAGCAATATCACATGCTGCCTTGTTATCACAATATAGTTTCATTGGACTGTCATGCTTAATATTTAGATCTTCTAATAAGCTACGAATCCATAATAATTCACATATGGCCTTAGCCATTCCTCTGAACTCAGATTCGGCGCTAGATATCTTGCTTCGCCAAGTAACCAAGTTTCCTCCTATGAAGGTGAAATATCCTGTTGTGGACCGTCTATCCTTGATTGATCCAGCCCAATCTGCATCAATGTATCCTTTGACATCCAGATTGCCCCCTTTTCTAAACATAATCCCTTTTCATGGAGATGACTTCAAGTAGCGCAAAATGTGAGTAACTGCATTCATATGTTCTTCGCTCGGAGAATGCATGAATTGGCTTATGGTACTTAGTGCATATGCTAAGTCAGGTCGAGTATGCACAAGATACATTAGTCTTCCAACTAGTCTTTGATACCTCGTCTTGTTAGTTGGAACTTGATCTGGATATATGCTTAGCTTCAAATTCTCTTCCATAGGAGTGTTAACTGGACTACATGCTGTCATACCAGTCTCACTTAGTAAATCTAAGGCATATTTTCGTTGAGATAAAAAGATACCTTCCTTTGATCTTGACACTTCAATACCAAGGAAGTATTTCAATAGTCCAAGGTCCTTCATCTCAAATTCTCGGGCTAGGTGGTTCTGCAATGCTCTCCTTTCTTCCAAATCATTTCCCGTTACTATCATATCATCAACATACACAATGAGACAAGTGATCATTCCTTTATTATGCTTCACAAAGAGGGTATGGTCTGAGTTACTCTGCCTGTATCCAAAAGCTTTCATTGACTTCGTAAACCTTCCAAACCATGCTCTCGGAGATTGTTTCAGACCGTATAGGGCCTTTTTCAATCTGCAAACATGTCCTCCACCTTTTGATTCTAAATTACATCCGGGTGGTAACTCCATGTATACTTCCTCTTGAAGGTCTCCATGTAAAAATGCATTCTTCACATCAAACTGGTGCAATGGCCAGTCAAAATTCACTGTCGTGATATAAGAATACGAACGGTATTGATTTTTGCTACCGGTGCAAATGTCTCTATGTAGTCAATTACATAAGTTTGAGTGTATCCCTTGGCGACTAGTCTAGCTTTGAATCTTTCAATAGTTCCATCTGCCTTATATTTGACTGTGAAAACCCACCTACATCCAACTGGTCTCTTCCCTTTAGGCAGCTTAACAACTTCCCAAGTTGAGTTCTTTTGAAGTGACTTCATTTCTTCATTCATAGCTTCCCTCTACCTAGGATCTCCCAGAGCTTCCTGCATGTTAGTAGGAATAGATACAGCAGATAATTGATTTGCAAATGATACACTTTCCTTTGACAATCTATGGTAGGATACATAATTGTTCATGGGATACTTAGGATCAGAACTAAGAATAGGTTCATAGTTAGCTCTAGGTATACCTCTAGTAGCTCGATTAGGTAGTATTTTTGGAAGGAATTGAGGTTCAGGATATACCTGGGATTCGTGAAGCGAATCGTCATCAGAAGACGATTGGTTAGATGGTACTTGAAGTGGAGTCGCTTCCATCTGATTCTGATTATTTTTTTCATTCAAATAAGCATCAGGTTGCTCACCCAGTTTGCCAGTTATCTCCTCTAGACCCTCAGTTACCTCTTCTGGATACTCACCATTTTTATCAACGACTTGACCGCTTGTATTATCTGAATGGTCCAAGGGAGGAATTAGATTTAGAGTCTGCAATTCATTTTTCCTCTCCCCCTGAATTGAAGACTCAAGAGCGGCATAGTACATGTCATTTTCATGAAAGGCGACATCGAGGGTGACATACAGCTTTCGTGATGGGGGGTGGTAACATCGGTAGCCCTTTTGAAGTGAGGCATAGCCAACAAAGACACATCGCAAGGCTCGTAGCTCCAGTTTATCACGCAACGGCTTGGGAAGATGCACAAATGCCACGCATCCAAAAATTTTAGGTGGTAAGTTTGGAGCAGTAGGAGCACTTATGGTTGAATGAAGGACGTCACAGGGAGTTTGAAAATGCAACGAGCTTGAAGGTGCACGGTTAATGAGGTATGCTGCAACACTGAGCGCTTTTCCCCAGTAGCTGGTAGGCATGTGAGCGCCAAATAAGGTGGCCCGAACGACTTCAAGGAGGTGGCGATTCTTGCGTTCCGCAACCCCATTTTGTTGGGGAGTATAAGGGCAAGTCGTTTGGTGAGATATGCCATGGTCCAGTAAGTACTTCTTCAGTTCATGGTTAACAAATTCCCCACCATTGTCAGTGCGAAGAACTTGTATACGAGATTGATATTGAGTGGCGATCATCCTATGAAATTTCTGAAACAAGGAGGTAACTTCATTCTTTGATTTCATCATGCAAACCCAAGTCATACGAGTGTGATCATCAATAAACGATACAAACCAACGAGAACCATTCAAGGAAGGGTTCTTGGCTGGCCCCCATACATCCAAGTGAATTAACATAAACGGTACTGGACTTTTATTCATGCTTAATGGAAACGATACACGGTGACTTTTTGCAAGTTCACAAACATCACATTTGAAATTTGAAGTGTTTAACTGAGAAAATAACGTTGGAAACAATATTTTTAAATATCCAAAAGACACACGACCTAATCGCCGGTGCCACAGCCAAATTTCGGAGGACTTGTCAATCTGATTTGTTGAAAGAGCTTGAGTCAATTAATGTGAGCTAGTAGGTTTCAGATCAAGATAGTACAGCTTCCCTTTTCTAGTACCATAACCAATCGTCTTCCGGGTTCGAATGTCCTTGAAAACACAAAGGTTAGGCCAGAAAATCACAACAAGATAATGCACTGGTTATTTGAGCGACATATAATAAATTATGATTGAGGGAAGGTATAACTAAAACAGAATCAAGGATTAAATTATGCGACAAAGGAATTGAACATTCTCCAATCACAGGTGAGGCATTGCCATTAGCTGTAGAGACTATATTTGTTGCGGTTTGTTTCATAAACTTAACATATTGATCGTCAAAAGTCATGTGATTCGTTGCGCCGGAATCAATTATCCATGCATTACTATTACTACCAACTGATGCAGAAGTATGGAGAACCTTACCAATATTACCTGAAGTGGCAATCAAGGAAGCTTCTGCAACATCATTGGAGGAATCTGTCACGGCAACGGAGGCTTGGTGGTTTGGTTTTGAGTTGCGCTTGCGTGGTGCCTTTGCTGGATCCCACCAATCTGGATATCCAATTAGCTCATAACACCGTGCCTTTGTATGCCCAGTCTCGCCACAGTAAGTGCACAATCGTTCGGCTTTGACAGCACCAATTTCATGGCTGCTCTTTTGGGATCGTGCCTGGTCAGATTCTGGCTTTTGGACAGATTGTTGAGGTTGAGACTTAGCACGTCGGACCAGTAGAGTAGAAGACTCAGAATTATCAGGTTTAGTACTTAGGGCAGTTCGGCGGACAGCATCTCTGCGGACATAGGCGTATGTGTCGTCAAGGTCCATTTGAGGGTCCTTCCGTAGAACCTCTCCTCTAATCTGTTCAAACTGTGCATCCAGACCACTGAGGAAGATATGCACTCTCAGCCGTGCAACAGACATCTTATAGGAGACAATATCATCGGGATCTTTCATAATAATTTTATCGCGATAATCTAATTCTTGGAAGATTTCAACAAGCTCACCGTAATAAGTGGACAAGGGTCGACCAGCCTGTTTGGTGGTGAAGGTACGCTGATTTAAGAAAAAAAGTTGAGTCTCATCCGATCCGTCGTAGGAAGCTTTGGCAAGGGCACTCCAAATTTCTTTTGCTGTACGCAATCGCAGATACCGCTTCATTATTTCCGGCGACATGGAGGTCAGCAACCAGCTCTTGACCTTTTGGTTGTCTACATACCACTTCGCATATGTAGAATATGTCTCTTTTGGTGGATTGGTTTTGCCCACAATATAATCAAGTTTCTCTCTACTGGCGATTTGCATCTCTAAGATTTGAGACCAGACATCATAGTTTCTTTCAGTGAGGACAACTCCAGCATGGAAGCCAGAGTTTTCAGATTGAATATGGATTACTGGAGTTGAGGGCTCGAGAGAGGGAGATTCAGAATCAAGCTCCATACGTTCTGGTGGAGGTGCTCCCCCCCTTTTTTTCTTTGGCCTGCTCTGATACCAACTCAGAATTTAGGTATTTTATTCATTCATTCATCTTCTTCCTTACAATATTAAGGGGATTAAATAGTCACCGTATGTACATGGAATGTTATAGTTTAGGAATATAAATCTGCCTAGTATAATTCTATTCTAGGAAATATGTTCCTGTCAATCTTTGTATGGAAGTATACCAACTTGGGATTGATTCTAAAATCTTCAACAAAAAACACTTGTTGCACTTGTCACATGAAAAGAAAGTATGAAATGGACAATCAGAAAATTAAGTAGTAGTGTTTATAAACTGATGACTGATCAATGGGAAAAAAAAAAGTGAAAGCTAAAGAAAAGCAAATTAACAAACATTAGATTTAGAATCAACTCATTTTCTCTCCATCATATGTAAGATGAACAAAAAACCAAAAGAAAAAAAACAGTGGAAGAAAAGAATAAAATAAGCCATAGGCCCATAACTATCAGTCTATCACCACCATCAGCATCAAATTGGGGCTTTTCACTTTCTTAATTTCGAGCATGTTTAGTATGCAATATTTGATAGTACTGATTTAATCATGTTCAATCGAGTCGAGTTGTCAAGATTTTTTTCATTCTTTTTTCTATCTTGTGAAGTCATGAACGAGGCTGGGCCTGTCTGTTACGTTGAAACGCCAAGAGAGGAAGGGCGTCCCCGTATCAGAGTCACGGTCATCATCTTCAATGAATCTGAACTCATTACTGTATGATGAAGAAAAGTAAGGCATATTCTGGGTTTGTGAGTTTTGATGAATCCATGAACTGTCCAAAACTTGGTGTTCAGCACCGCCGTTGTGGGTGGCACCGGCGGTGGCTGCTGACGCTCTCCTCTCTTCCTTCTTGAAACGAATCCCACAAGCATTGCAAAGTGACTGCCAAATTCGTAGCCATTAGTCTACACTCTTCACAATACAACAAACAAAAGAAAACTAAATTCTTGAAAATAAAATTAAACCTTAGGGCCTCTTGGACCGTTCCTCCAGAGGGGAGTAGAAGTGGTGTCACAATTCGCACAACGCCGAGCCAAGAGCGGGTCCCCGCCGGAATTGACGTTGCTGTTACTTCCACCACGGTGGTTTCTGTTGGATGACGAAGCCGGCGCCGCCATATTCCAGCCGAGGTTAGAGCGTCGCTTTTCCTTCTCATTACTGACACGAGTAGAAGGCGTGCCTAGAGAAAGAGTGCAATCAACGGAAGACGAAGAAGATGAAGTGAAAGAATACATATCCCCAGAATACGAATACATATCCATATCCCCTCCTTCATCAGAATTTGGCATAGAAAACATCATTGAAAAGGAATTGTTTTGACTGTGAAACAAGCCACAAGAACATGAATCCACATTACATCTATGCATCATATTGAAGAATTCTCAACTCTTTTTCAATACCAAATGTTGCTGAAAGATGAGAAAATGAATGGGGAATATGTAGTTGAAAGAGGGTACGGAGTAAACAGTGAGTTGAGAGTGATGGATATGCAATAATATAAGGTTTGAATGGGGAACATAGGATAGAGAGCTTTGAGTGTAAGGGTGTGAGATCTATGTTGTCTGTTAGCATTATAAAGGCAATAAAATGGCGAAATACCAGTCAGCACCTGCAGTCCATGTTGTCGTCAAATGCCAACATTTTTATTGCAATTACAATGTAGTACCATGCATACAATTTATAGTATAGTTAAGAGACTTGAAAGTATATATGAATAGGGGCACTAAGGTAGTTTTACATGTTTGATGGGCAAACGGTTCTACCATATACTTATTCAAAAGTTTAGATTCACGTAGTGTCGGTTTGGCTTGACTAAAAATCAAATAAAAATTGAGATTGTTTAGTTCTTGATATTGTTAGAGTTCACTGTAATCCAACTCTCGAATTATTCGCTTTTCTTTAATTTGAATTGAAATTGAGTAGCAGCTTTGATTTTAGGAGACGTGCGATACATTTAGAAACTCGAGATGATAAATAATGGGATGGAATTATTATCTAGAGATAACGGTACTCCTTAGACTCTTAAGGTCCACATGTTCTAATTTTGAAGTTCATATGCACAAAGGAAGGGTTTCTAAAGCCATTTGCGATTTGGTGGGTGGGGGGGGGGTGTCTTTGATTGGTCATAGGGTAGTCAAAAGAACCCACGTGACAAGCGGGAACGGTCTTTGATGGATCTGGCTTCTCCGATCACGAGGTTTCACTCTCAAACCTTTCAATGCATCAAACACTTGTGTCCATTTCCATATCCCTGTCTTGCCACCCTCCCATGGAGATGTGTGGTCGTTAATAGTTGTGAATTTTATGAAATGTCGAATTAAAATTAAAATTTGACTTTAAAAAGTAAATTAATTATAATTTATTTTTGAGTTCTCTGAATATAAGCTATATAAGAATTGAAACTGAATGTCCATTCTTCAACAATAATGTATTTTTGTTTAGATATTTACTTGTATAATTTCGTTAAAAATGAATTAGGTGATAATAAAAAGGGATTCTACTTATAAAATATCTAATGAATCGTCGCTAGAATAAAAAAATTTCAAGTTGTTATTTTAATTATTACTGTTCCAACCGTTGAAATTAGACCCAATTGCTAAGACTCCATCTGTGTGTTGGTTTAACTTTACCACATCTAAGTCTTAATTCAATTAGCAAAGCAAATTCATTAAAACTACAATTGGTACTATAAAGATGCGGTCATAAACTATATAAAGTCCAATGTATTTTTTTTTTTTTTTTTAATATTTCTAGGATTAAACTAACATATTCACAAATGAAAGTATTAATGCTACAACCAATTCATATGTTATTAAAGCTTGCACAAAGCTAAGCAATAGATTATGATGCGGAAAAATATCGATCGCCCCGAGTTCGAGCTACTTGTCCTAAACTCAACCTACCCCAATTATGCTAGTTCCAAGGTCGGGTTCTATGTCTAGGTCGGGTTACTTGTTGAGGTCGGGTTACATGAGTTTTTGTGCAGTCTCCTTGACCTTATCTCGTACATTCTAGAAATATTAATCATATTTTGATTATAACTCTCCATGACTTTCACCCATATCCAAACTACTTACCTACCACAGTTTGGTTTAAACTCAAACAGAACACTTTGATTATAACACAAACACCTTTTTTGATGAGGATAAGGATTACAGGTGTTTGGATCCTTTCAGGACTCTATCACCAATGTCTATAAATACAAGACCAAGGTTTATTATTCAAGTACGTTTTTTTACACAATTTCCAGCATGTCTTTCCCATCAATTCGCTCTCTGACTAAAGCATCGGAGGAGCGACGAGAAACACCTCAATGCCTTTGTATCAGGTATTGAATATCTATTCGCGCGTAATTCAAGCATCCTATTCGAGAGTAAGCAGGTGCAGGTTTTTGGTAGCATCATTGGCACTATATATGGGAAGCGCTATGAGAAGCCATGGTTAATGCACGTTCAAGTCTTCCTACATCAAGCTCATCTGTTCCACGTCAACCCGATTGGCTAGACTGTCACAATGGATTGGTTCGAATGTAAAAAAAGAACCTCTGTCGCTCGACTGTCACCTTGCCTTAGCTCGAGCGATACAGTCTGTAGCTCGACTGTCGCTGAGCCATCGCTTGAGCGACAGTGTTGTCCAGAAAATTTTTATTTCGCGATTTAAAGGCTTTTTCCATGGCCCATTACTTTTCTAACCTACTTATAAATACCAAAACACATCTGAACGTGAAAAACGAAGGTTGGTCATTAAGAGAGCTTCATCAGAGAGAATTTCTACATATTTCTACTTTCAACCTTCTTCCTGTGAGATTATTTTGGTGAGAAAAATATCAATTTTATAATCCAAATACCAAACTGTTCTTTTCACCGCATTTGTCAAAGTTGCTGAAGATCGAGGAAAGTTGACTGAAGTTCCAATCGTTGACGAATGCGGTGTTTTTCGTGAATCCACAGGAGATAAGCGATTTCACAAAACTAAGAGTTGCTGTAGGAGAGCACAGTCCAGGAGAGCTTTGGAAAATATAGGTGAGAGTTGTGCAGGAGCACAGAATCCATGAGAGCTGTTGGAATTGCAGTCAGAAGATCAAATAGTAAGTGTCGTCGTCTAGTCTGATAGACCGTAAGTTACAAATCATTTATAGTTGATTGTGGACTGACAAAGTGCCCGAAATTTTTACCCAATTGGGGTTTCTCCATGATCATACCATGTGTTCTTACAGCTTTCATTATTGATTATATTAACTGCGGTATTTAAACAGAGGTTAAATTGACTTACATGCTTAATCGTCTTGAGATAATTAATTGGTGACATGTTACTAATTAATTAATAATTTTAATTCTGCATAATATACATATTCACCAGTTTCTTATACAATCGTATTTCTTTTATGCCGGTGGCCTGAACGGTAATGGCTCGTGCCTTATAGCCACTCCCACGCTCATTTTCTGGAGTCCTCATGACTGTCGATCGGCATTAGCGTGTCGGATTAAGCTTACGCGTGCACGAGTGGGCCCGGCATCTGTTGGCAACATTTTTTGGGGTCAACAAAATCGTCGCTAGAATCAAAAATTTTCGAGTGTTATTTTAATTATTACTGTTCCAACCGTTGAAATTAGACCCAATTGCTAAGACTCCGTCCGTGTGTTGGTTTAACTTTACCACATCTAAGTCGTAATTCAATTAGCAAAGCAAATTCATTAAAACTACAATTGGTATTATAAAGATGCGGTCATAAACTATATAAAGTCCAATGTATATTTTTTCATATTTCTAGGATTAAACTAACATAATCACAAATGAAAGTATTAATGCTACAACCAATTCATATGTTATTAAAGCTTGCACAAAGCTAAACTAAGCAATAGATCATGATGCGGAAAAATATCGATCGCCCTGAGCTCGAGCTACTTTTCCCGAACTCAACCTACCCCAATTATGCTAGTTCCAAGGTCGGGTTACTTGTTCAGGTCGGGTTACATGAGTTTTTGTGCGGTCTCCTTGACCTTATCTCGTACATTCTAGAAATATTAATCCTGTTTTGATTATAACTCTCAATGACTTTCACCCTTATCCAAACTACTTACCTACCACAATTTGGTTTAAACTCAAACATAACACTTTGAATATGACACAAACACCTTTTTTGATGAGGATAAGGATTATAGGTGTTTGGATCCTTTCAGGACTCTATTACTAATGTCTATAAATACAAGACTAAGGTTTATTATTCAAGTACGTTTTTTTACAAAATTTCCAGCATACAGTTTTTCCCATCAATTCTCTCTCTGACTAAAGTATTGGAGGAGCGACGATGACACACTTTAACACCTTTGTATCAAGTATTGAATATCTGTTCGCGCGTAATTCAAGCATCCAGTTCGAGATCAAGCAGGTGCAGGTTTTTGGTAGCATCATTAGCACTATATGTGGGAAGCGCTACCAGAAGACATGGTTAATACACGTTCAAGTCTTCCTACATCAAGCTCATCTGTTCCACATCCACCCGATTGGCTAGACTGTCGCCATGGATTGGCTCGAGTGTAAAAAAAGAACCTCTATCGCTCGACTGTCACCTTGCCTTAACTCGAGTGACATAGTCTGTCGCTCGACTAACGTTGAGCCCTCACTCGAGTGACAGTGTTGTCCAGAAAATTTTTATTTCGAGATTTAAAGGCTTTTTCCCTGGCCCATTATTTTTCTAACCTACCTATAAATACCAAAACACATCTGAACGTGAAAAATGAAGGTTGATCATTGAGAGAGCTTCATCAGAGAGAATTTCTACATATTCCTACTTTCAACCTTCGTCCTGTGAGATTGTTTTGATGAGAAAAATATCACTTTTATAATCCAAATACCAAACTGTTCTTTCCATCACATCTATCAAAATTGCTGAAGATCGAGAGAAGTTGACTGGAGTTCCAATCGTTGAAGAACGCGGTGTTCTTCGTGGATCCACATGAGATAAGCGATTTCACAAAATTAAGAGTTGCTGCAGGAGAGCACAGTCCAAGAGAGCTTTGGAAACTGCAGCTGAGAGTTGTGCATGAGCACAGAATCCAGGAGAGCTGTTGGAATTGCAGTGAGAAGATCAAATAGTACGTGTCGTCGTCTAATTTGATAGACTGTAAGTTACAAATCGTTTCTAGTTGATTGTGGACTAGCAAAGTACCCGAAGTTTTTACCCAATTAGGGTTTCTCCGTGATCATACCATGTGTTCTTACTGCTTTCATTATTAATTATATTAACTGCGGTATTTAAACATAGGATAAATTGATTTGTATGCTTAATCATTTAAGTGTT